TCCTCCTGCTCCTCCTCCTTTTCCTCCTCCTCCTCCCCTCCTCCTCCTCTTCTCCTCCTCCTCCTTCTCCTCCTCCTCCTCCTCCCATCCTCCTCCTCCTCCTCTCAGGAGCATATAAAATCCAAACTGGTGATGCTCTCGCAAATATTTTGCAAGTTAGCAATTTGAGAATAAAATAATTTACCAGAAGGATGTCAGAGCCTTTCTGAAACTTATTAACTGGAAAGTTCAGCCTCTAACATGCATATTGAGCAATATACTGAACACAGCAGAAATATGGGTGGTCCTCAACTTACAAAAGTTCATTTAATGAGCATTCAAAAGTTACAACGGCACTGAAAAATGTGACAACTGGACCACGAGGAAGGCTGGGCGCCGAAGAATGGATGCTTTCGAACTGTGGTGTTGGAGAAAACTCTTGAGTGTTGCTTGGACAGCAAGGAGGTCCAATCGGTCGATCCTAAAGGAAGTCAACCCTGACCGTCCTTTGGAAGGACGGAGACCGAAGCTGAAGCTCAAATACTTTAGCCACCAAATGAGAAGAGAAGACCAAGGTGTTGAGAAAGACGGGAAGGCCAAAGGAGAAGGGGACGGCAGATGGTTAGATGGTTTTCATTGATGCAATGAAGATGAATTTGGGCAAACTCCAGAAGATAGTGGAGGACAAGGGGGGCTGGGGGCTGGCATGCCGTGGTCCATGATAGTCACGAAGAGTCGGCTATGACTTTTCAAGTGAACAACAACAATTGCCGGAAGACACAAGTTCAAGAAACACGGCTGTGAAGTTTGCTAGGTGATTTTTGCACTGGTTCGTATCTTCCTCATGTAGAGGTCTATGGAGATTCTCAGATCAGCCAGGTCATGGTTGTCCCAAAGGTGCTTTTTTCAAGAGGCAACTGGACTGTCTTGTTTTTCTTTGAAGATGCTCAAGAAAACAGAGGACACAGGTGAACCTCCAAGTGGCCTCAACGGACTCTCTAAAGCAGCGGTCTTCAAACTTGGCCCTTTTATGACCTGCTGGCTTAAGAATTCTGGGAGTTGAAGTCCACAAGTCATAAAAGGGCCAAGTTTGAAGACCCCTGCTCCAAAAGAAGGCAAACGACCAGCTGTCTACAAGGAGTGTAAATCCTGCCATTCTCCCCACCATCCAGTCAGAGCCGAAGAAGCTTCTTGGATGAGAAGTGAAACGTCCTCAAAGAAAAAACAAGAAAGTCCAGTTGCCTCTTGGAAAATGCACCTTTGGGACTCCTCATGTAGACCTTGGCCTACATCTGTGGACTGGTGGAAGTGTAGGTGTCATGGTTCCGACAGATGAAACTCTTCAAAAGAACTTGGCGGCATTGTTTACCTTAAAGAACCTTTTATTTGAGTAGCATAATATCGGCACTTACATAATCAAAGCCAAAAACTGAATTCCCCTCCCCCGGGCACCTAGTATCAAAGCACAATTCCTTCCTCCAGTTAACAGTCATAAATCACATCCCCCAATTAGCTTGAACTGCGGGCTTCCTCTCCAGTTCTCCAGCCCGCCAATTCTTTTATCAGCTCTGGGCTCAATAACCTTGATTCTCACCCTAAGTTTAGTGTTGTTATGTCTAGCTAGACCAGTGATGGTGAACCTTTTAGAGACCGAGTGCCCAAACCGCAACCCAAAACCCACTTACGTATCGTCAGGTGCCGGGTGGGCATGGCCCATTGGGTGGGTGTGGCCAATTGGGTAGGCATGGCTCAGTGAGTGGGCGTGGCTGCGGTGGTAACGGCAGACTGGGTGGGACTAAAAAGTTCAATCAATCAATTCCAACTTTGCGAGATCTTTTTTTTCCCCCACGAGAATTTGAAATTGATTGATTGATTGAACCTTTTTTTTTCTTTTTGCACACAGGCCTAAAGTGAAAAGGTTTTATAAAACACAGCTGAAGGCGACAGCACGCGTGCCCACAGGGAGGGCTCTGCGTGCCACCTGTGGCACGCGTGCCATAGGTTCGCCACCATGGAGCTAGACTCTCATTCACATCTCCCCCCTCCCAGCATCATCTAACTCTAAAAACGAAAGGGAAGAAAGATGGCTACATTTTCACCTGTTGTCAGCAGGTGAACGTTAGCAGCGTGGACTGTAAGGGAATATCAATCCTTTCGCCAACCTCAAACAGATCGGTTATTTTGAACCGTAGGCGCCTTCAGAGGAATTCATGCTGCATTGCTTAACATCTGTTTGTTGCAACCTTTCTCCCCGTTCCAGTCGTGGCGGCGGCTGCCTCTTCACTTCCTGTCGGAGGAAGTCTGCATGATGGAGCTTGTTAAACTTTCAAACCCATCTAGCTTTTTTTTTTTTGCAGGCGACTTAGGTTGGTTACTACAAGTTGCCACTCAAAATTGAATTTGGAATATGTTGTTAAAATTGGAAATGACATGGGAATAACAATAATAACAATAACAACAATAATAATAAACTTGGAAGGGACCTTGGAGGTCATCCAGTCCAACCCCCTGCTCAGGCTGGAAACCCTATACCATTTCGGACAAATGGCTGTCCAGCCTCTTCTTAAAAAATTCCAGTGTTGGAGCATTCACCGCTTCTGGAGGCAGGTTGTTCCACTGGTTAATTGTTCTCACTGTCAGGAAGTTTCTTCTTAGTTCTAGGTTGCTTCTCTCCTTTGATGAGTTTTCATCCGTTGCTTCCTTGAAGAGGTCTCGCTTCTCCTCCAAGAAGCTTCTTCCGTTCTGACTGAACGGCAAAGAATGGAATCAACAACGCTCAGAGGGAGCACTAACGACCAGATGACTGCGTGGAATATCAATCCTTCCACCCTCCACCCTTCAGTCAGAACTGAAGAAGCTTCTTGGATGAGAAGTGAAATGTCCTCAAGGGAAAACACAAGAAAGTCAAGTTGCCTCTTGAAAAAAAAAAAAAGCACTTTTGGGACAGCCAGGACCTTGGATGACTTGAGAACCTCCAGAGACATGGAACTTTTTTTTGAGTTTGAGCAAGGTCTGAACCAGGTAGATGTCCCTCACAGTCTCTCTCTCTCTCTCTCTCTCTCTCTCTCTCTCTCTCTCTCTCTCTCTCTCTGAGTCTACGTTTCATCATTTCATTTCATTTTTTGAAACAACAACAAAAAATATGCTCAGCTGCTTATGCTATTATGGCGAGGGATTCTTGCCGTTAAATTAGAAGTTGCCGTGCAAACACAATCAAAATTAGATTCTACAGAAGACTCAAAGAAAGGTTAAAATATCTTCCAGGGAATCTTTTTCTTGTCAGCTCTTTGAATTACCCGGATTCTTCAGCCCTTTTTATGCGTTCATTGCTTTTCACACACCAGACGGTTATTAATATTGAAAACGAACCGAAAGTGTGGGTTTTTTTTTTAAGATAAGCATCTTAGTTGCTTAGCAGAACATTTCTTCTTTGTGAATCGTGCGATCTGTTACTGCAATATTGTGAGCTGGGCGGCGTACACCTTTGAACGCCTAAAGAAATAAAAATAAAAATGTATAAAAGTGCGTTTGAATTAAGTACATATATATAATCATTTGAGCATTACATAGAACGCCGTCGTATTTGTCTTCTCTGTTCTTTGTGTATTATATGGGGCATTTTTAAAGGGTGGATCTTACTCTGAAGTTTAACACAGACACGTAGGTTGCTGTTCGCCGCGCTTTCTATGTGCTGCTGTGTAACTGCTGGACTCACTAATTGTGTTGTGTCATACACTTCAGTTGGGAGTTACGCCTCAAGTATTCAGAAATTTTAATAATAATTTAGCAGTATAGCAATGGAACATGGTATTCATCAGCCAGGCTTCAAATACTTGAAGAGTAGTTAAGGTGACTAATTTAAAGTCATGGTTCCCTTAATTGGGCAATATATCACCTTTCATTGGGTCTGGAAAGAAATAACAGGTTTTAAAATGGATAATCTTCCGCCTTTCTGATTTGAATGTGATGGCAACTCAGATTTTATTTGCGCAATCTCCTCCTCCTCCTCCTCCTCCTCCTCCTCCTCCT